GCAGAGACTGTGAGGCCAGAAGCCAGGGGGAACCCAGAGGCAGTCTGTGGGAAGCTCTAAGAACCACAGCCGGCTCAGGAGGAGCCCAAACGCCATGACGGGGGGCAGAAGTCCCAGGTCTCTTTCTGGCACTGGGTCTACCTCGTTGCAGGGGTCCCGGGACTGGGAACAGGACTCAGAGAGGACAGACATGCTGCCATGATGTCTGCTTGGGGGCAGATGGAGACGGGCAGGGGAGGAAGCACAGGAGAGTCCCAGACCACCCACTGGCTACTGCCCTCTTATCTCCCACAGGGTAGCAGGCTGCGTGTGCCGAGATCCTCCCGGGCCCAAGCCAAGGTCAGCTAGTAGCTAACGCAGGCCCCCATCTAGCCACGCAATGCCCATCTTTATCCTGTGCCTCCTTTATGTCACCTCCTAATCCCAGCCCCACTCCTTCCTGTAAACCAGGCTGTAGAAAGCTCTCAAGGAACTAAAACGCAGGTTCCCAAGGGAATCGGCCAACGTTTCCTGCCTGCCTCCTGCTGCCCCCACTAAGCCGGGAGGCACTTGGCGAAGAGGCACATCAATCAATCAATTCCACCAGCCCTAAAAGGGGGAAGGCGCGAGACCAGCCCTGTACCAAGCGCTGGGAGACGTCAACACAGAGCTAACTCTAATGGTTGCCATTAGGAGCAGAAGTAGCAGAAGAAAGTGGGTTCCTGGCCTTGACCTCCTGGGGACCAGGGTACGGAACTCTGAGCGCCACCTGGACACACTACTGCCAATCGCGTGACCAGATCCACGGACACGCAGGCCTCCCGCCAGCCTCTTGGTTCTTATCTCTTTCCAGGACCAAGTGGGTATGAGGCCTGCAAGGAGGAGGGGGCAAGGGAGGCAGGAGGGCCCGCTTTAGGGAGCTGGGTGGCCTGGACGGAAAGGGCAGAAGGCTGTGGCTGCACAATGGAAGCAGGAGTTCTGTTGGCGGCGGTGGTGAGGAGTACAAGGCAAGACAGAGAAAGGCCGTGTGGAAGCCTAGAAGGTGTGGGGGGTGCAGGGAACACCCGTCTGCATCTGTCCCAATACCTCCCATCCTTTATCAAGTTCGAAGGCCACCCTTTCACAGAGCTCCCTGCGCTCTCCACTCTGTGCTCCTTTGCCCTGTGTGACAGATGAACACACCTGTCCCCCTCCACCAGGCAGGTCCTGGAAACCAGGGAAGGACGAGGCGGCCTTCAATTGTGCAGCAACGATAGTGGGCGCTCTCCCAAACGCTTACCGAATCTCCGACCTCATCACCCACGTGGGGTCTCTTTCCAGACAGGGAACACTACGTCCTGATGAATGTGGGGTGTGAGGATGCTATGCTACGGTCAGGCAGCCAGAGAGGTGAGTGCTGGACCACCAAGCTGCCACCTGTCACCATGAGTCCAAGTGAAGGAGGCCTTCCTCTGCACCCTGGGACCACCAGCCCTTCTTCTGCTCCCCTGCTCCTTCTTCCCCCTGCCTTATCCTGGCCCAGCTACCCTGGAACAGCTACTGCTTGCCTTGGGGACCCACAGGCTGGAATGACTACAGAGCAACTTCCACTCCCCAGCGCCCAAAGATGAAGAGGAAGAGAAGGAAAAGGAGGAGGAGAGAGACAAGGAGATGTGGCAGCAGCCAGGGTGGTCAAGGTTTAAAAACCAGCTCAGAAAGGGCAGTGGTAAAGGACACGCCTTGGGGCCCGGGGGTGGAGAAACGACCTGGTCCCTCTGAGAACGGTGGGCCGGCCAGAGGAGGCTGATGGCAGCGGGCCAGGCAGGCGCACCACTGACCCGGCGGGGTCCAGGCAGAGGAGTGGGCGCCCAGAGGCTCCCCGGGCCGCACCCAATCCCCAGCCCAGGGACTTGAGCCAGGGGCAGCAGCTTTAATGAGGGGATGCTGCTGCGTGGCTCAGCCCTCCAAAGGTGCCTCCATTTATTTTATTTTTCCATCATAAAAACCCAAGCTGCGACTCAGCCAGATTCCCTGGCCGTGGGGGATGGGGGAACGTCAGGGCAATGGGGAGGCCGCACGGAGGTCTGACTAACTGACCCCGGTGCCCTTCTTGGGGAGAAGAGTTAATGGGTTCTCCTGGCCGGTCCCTACAGGAAAAAAGGGCCTGGGGTGAGTCCCCTCCAGGGATCCTTCCAGATTGGCCCTTGCTGCCTCTGCCTCCCGTTACAGGAGAACGGCTACGCCAGGACTTCCATCCTGAGATCTGCTCTGATGTCTGATAGCTCGGACCAGGGCTGGGTCAAGGGCCACTTCACGGTCCAGAGGCACCCGTCTCAAACGCCTGCCTCCAAAGACAAGGCCCAAATGATGTGCTTCTCACTTCGTCCATTCAACCCTGCCCCCCCAAGACCGAACCTCCCCGGTAAAATCAAGTTGGGAGTTGGAAAGCCAGAGACTTAAAGGTCATCTGATGCTCAAGTCCCTGCAAACGTCACAGCCAGCCTCTGTTTGAATGGTACCAGGAAACTCGCTACTTCCCAGACAGCCCATTCTGTCCTTGGCTCTGACGGCTCCTTCCTGCCAAGATGGCACCGGAGTACCCACCCCCTGCAGCAGACTGGCAAAACCGGTGCCCAACCTGACTGCAGGGACTGGCCCCAGCTTAGACTGGTCGAGTGGGTGTATCTGGCCAAGTAAAGGCTTGAGGAAGGAAAATCGAGGGCAACCTGCTTGGGCTTCCTCCACAGCTGAGGCCAGGGCCAGGATGCAACGGTGGTGGGTGGGTCGCACGTGTGTGTCGGGGGGGGAGGGGGGGGGTGAGGGCGGTTGGTACACAATACCAGGGTGCCCCGGCCTGGAGTTCCGGTAGACCTAATCCCAGGGAAAAAGAAGCAGGTCTGGCTCAGCGAGCAACCCCGATTCCTCCCACTGACCCCCGTCGACAACATGGCTGCAGCCACGGTGCCAAGTGGACAGTGCCAGCCCTCTCCGGCCCTCTGTGCAGTCCGTGGCCATCCCCTTGAACTCACTCTCTTGCCTATCTGGCCCTCCACCTGGGAGAGCCCAGCCTGGATCTTGACGGACAGCTCTAGCCCTGGACGGCCCCTCCTCTTCTTCTCATGCTCCCCCTGAGGAAAGCGGGGCAGTGACAACCAGATCCGGGGGGACCAAGGGCAAGGTCCTTCTCAAAGCTCAGCTGCTGCTTCAGCCATTTCTCCTCTGCCTCCGGTCTTGTTGGGGCCTAGCAATCGGCCTAGTGGGGCCTAATCCTGGGGAGTTTCCCAACTGCAGGATGGATTTACCTGTGTCTGAAAGCTCCCTCCCCCGCCCCTCCCCTGCCCGGCTCCCTCCCCCAGGGAAATCACTCTAAAAGGGCCTAATGGAACTATGTCCTCCTCTCTTCCTCTCTCTCCTCCCTCCCTCCTCTCTTTCCCTTTCCTTTTTTTTTTATTAGCATTTGTGGAATTTATTCCCAAACTCTCCTAATCTTCCGTACACAACCATTTGATTTGCATAACCCAACCCCCTCTCATAAAAACTGGCTGCTAGTTTAATTAAAAAATGTAAATTTGCTGTCATCTCGGGGCCTGGTGAATTAGGACGACATCGGCATTTTTTATTGCTAAAGACGTCCAGATTGATCCAGCCCTTGGCTGAACTATGGTGGGGGAATAGGGGTCCACATGGTCCCCGAGGATCTTGAGGTCCTGTTGTCCCCTCCTGAGAAGCCTTGGCTCTCCCATCACTGAATGACTTATGGCCAGAGTGCTTCAGGACCTGGACCTGTCCCAGGCTGGAGATGATGCTAACCCATGACCCAATGCTTATAGGATCCCTGGTGCCAGCGACTCTTTGGGGCCTGTGCCTTGTACTGTGCCAGAGAAGCCCTTGGTGGAAGCTGTCCGTGGTCCGCCTTCCACTCTCCCCAAGAAGGAGCCCCTCACAGCACCAGCAATGAGCCCTGGCCAGCGACGAGGCCTCTGGCTATGGCTGTGTCCAGGAGAACATTCCAGATGTCGATGGAAGACCAGCATGGAGCCAGCCCAAAGATGGTCTCAGAGGGGATCTCAGAGTTCCCAACTGCTTCCCTTTTTTTGTGAACAGGGAAAAAAGCGCTTTTCTTCTGAAATTAAGTGAAACTTCCAAGTTCAAAGAAAAGGCGGAGGGGTATCACCAGATTGCTCCTCCAGGAAACAGTCAGAACTCTGACACCCTGACCTTCCCTCACTGAGTGGCTAGAGGGCAGGCCCGGGTCCTGCTCGAAGAGCCTCGCTCCAGCTGCAGGAGGGACCAGTCCACCTAAGTGGCTCTTCTAGCTTCTAGGACAAGTTTCCAGAGGCTGTCCCTGGAATGCGGGGAGAAGTGAGTCTCCCTAAAGCCCAGGAGAGGTGCTACAAGAGGTTCTGCCACCCACAGGCCCAGGAGGCTCTGTCTCCAGTCGGGGACACCCTCCAGAGGCACTTTGGAGCCCTGTGCCCCTAGCAGACTGGAAGGGACTGGTCGGTGTAGGGCAGGAGGATGGATGCCAGCTCCAGCTGGCACCCAGGTTAGGAGGAGGAAGACGAGGAAGGCCCGCCTTCCAGCTGAGTAATGCCTGGGTCCACTGTGCCCGCCCACAAGCAGAGGCTCCTATGCCCCAGGTAGGGGGTGGTGCCAAC